AGCCGTAACACTAACCAGGAATTTCTTATTCCAACATTTATAACTTTTAGATAATAGATTCTAGCGCTTATTATCAAACGAATGTCTTTTAAACTAAACTCTTATTGCTTATAGCAATATTATCGGATAGAAGACGGATGGTACGGAATTTGGAGCAGGGGGGTGCAGGATCGAGTTGTTTGCTTGGGTAATGGTATTAGTTGTAGTTGGTAAAGGAGTAGTATGTTTATCGCATGGGTGTGCAGTGCAGTGCAGTGCATGATATGTAATGCACTGCTACTCAATGCAATGCAATGCGTATATGCTGCTGCTGCATATACTTTCCATGCATGCATGCGGGAGGGTGTGCTGCTGTGCTGTGTTGTCTAGCGTGTATGGTATCCGTAGCTCCGTATACTATAGCAAAATAATGCAGCGAGTGTAAATACGGAGTAAGTAGTAGGTAAGTATAACAAAGGTGGGGGAATATACGGATCTAATGATATTTGGTCTAATCTAGTAACTTTCTATTACTATAGTCTATTCCAAGCTAGATGTAGTCAAGTAAATAAATGAATGGATCGATGAATAAATCGCCTCTCTGCAAAGGATGCAAGGTGTATGTGTAGAAGTATACTTTCATGTATGTTTAAAGCCGGGAGGCATAGCGTATAAGCAGACATACTACGTACTTTAAACCTCCAGGTTACCCTACCCTCGAGGGTTAATACTTACGCCTGGGACGTAGTACTACCGGTAGTAGCTATGGCAGGAATGGGGGGCTCACGATTATACTTCATGGGTATGTACGTAGTACGTGCGTACGTGCCTCTTGGGGTGCGGCTGACTGCGGGGTTGCTATATACAACTATCTAAATGCAGCAAATATATATACGATTCTATATCACAAGAGAGAAGGTCTCAGTCGCTTACTGGACTTTGGGAGGTTGAGATGGGAAAAAGAATCAATGCGCATATGATGTTACCGCAGCAATGGGCAATGAAGACGATCACGAATAGGTTTGTTTACTTGCTATGGATCGTAGGCGAGGGGCAGCTAAATTCCTCTCGGGTAGGTGACCCACAGCCTAAATCTCCGTCGTCCTCTTCCACCCCACTCCATTCCACTCCACCCTTCTCCGGTCCGAGAATCGTTAACGGCACCGCGTTTCCATCCGGCTAAATTAGTAGATAGGCAGACTCCGGAATCAGAGTCATCGTCGATAATTTATGAATGTATTAAAAAGGAGTGACATATATCACATTCAAATGCATCTGTAGCGCACAGAACATGATATCGCGGATCTGTTAGGTGATGTGTGTATGTGTATGGATGGATGGTGGGGTGAGGAGGGCTTGGAGGGGTAAGCAAAGAGCTTGGAAGAGGTGGGGGTGATAATGATGATGATGATGATCATGATGATATGCGTAATAGTTTTGGCTTATGACTCTTGGGTTTTTGAGCGCTTTTGTACGATGCGTTGTCGTACGAAAGTGTTGATTGAATGAACACGAGGTGGTGGGGTTTTCGTGGTGACAATACGTCAGAATGCTCCGTGTCCGCCTCTCCGTAGTCAAGAAAAAGTACTTACAGGGAAAGGTCGAGATGGAGCAGAAGGAAAAAGGTAAAAGGAAAAAGATGAGCGTGTTCTAGAGCGCTTTGCTATCACGACTCATGTATGTGCTAGCCGGGGCTGGAGCACGGCAGGGTAGGCTTTTGTTTGGTTGTAGTACGTAGTAAGTACGGAACGACGCTTTCTCGGAGGGACCTGCATAGATGCCAATGTAGAGCGAGGTGTGGCTCGGGGGCAGGGCATGGAAGATTAACCCATGTTCCTCCGTCAAGAAATTCTGGGCTCCGTGGAAATGTATTGGGGCTGATAGAGAAATAAAAGTAAGTAGTGTTCTAGCCGAGGATAGCATCGCCGGAGCCATCTACGTACGTCTTGGCAGAAACCCGTCGCGGTTTTATGACAGCCTAAGGATACTTTCCTGCCTGTAGCTACTGCACGTGGATCTGCGTCTAGTCTAACTTTTTCTTGCTGCGTGCATTACTCTCTTCTTATTTTTTTAGAGGGGAAGAAACTGCTTTATTCAGCTAGCTAGGTATTTATCAGTCAAATCTACTATTCTCTTCCTGGAATACAAGGTAGGATCCCAAAGTGCGTAGTACTACGTCGCAGGCGTAAGTATTACCCCTCGAGGGTAGGGAAAACAGGGGTTTTAAAGTGGAAACTAAACTTTTAAGGCACCCTCGAGGGGTAATACTTAGGCCTGTACCGTGGTACTTAGGCCTGTACCGTGGTAGCAACTTGCAACCGATAGTTCTTTTGCTGGGGTTCAGCTTAGACCACCATGGCCACGCTAATACCTCGTAATTATCCTGGAGGATAATCGTAAATGTAAACTCGCTTATATACGAAAATATTATTTCATTATAACTGAAGCGAACAGCATGTAGCATGTATTAAAAATATCAGATAGACATTTATTCTAAGCTACTAATAAGAATTGAGTATTTATATGGCGGATAGAAATGAAAATAGTTGTAGAAAAGTCATGTTTTGCATGAATCATACCATATGAAAGAAGGAAAGCCAAGGAGGTGATAAAGTCTGTGTATCCGTAATTTAGCCGAGCCTACGTTTCAACTTTCGTATCGATTGATTGTCTTTACGGAGGTACAGCGTTTAAGTACTATCTTACCTATGACAAAGGCAAAGGGGGTGCAGAGATTAAGCTTAACCTAATAAGGTAGTTTCTAATGCAACTAAGAGAAAAGAATATACGGGCGGAATAGCGTTGTATGTTATTATTATTATTATTATTATTATAGTTGTTAACGTCGGGCGAGTATTTAAAACGCAATGCTTGGACCTTAAGACCTCTTATAAGGTACGGCGACGTATTAAGTTAAAAATTTTTATTTAAAGTATTATTTAAACGAAAGTAAAAATTACATTAAAGAAAAGCTTTCTTTTAAATAGCCTTAAGCCTTTAATCCCGCGGTATCGCATAACCTTTATAACCTTTAAAAGCAATTCAAGTTGATATACCTAACGCAACTGCTGTCGGTTATGCTTTTCTTTTACGGTTAAAATAGATCGCAAGGAAAAAAAAATTCGTCGAAAAAAAACCTTGAAAAGTAAGTTACAACGTAAATAACGTATATCGATATCGATTATCGAAATAATTCAAGGCCGGGCCAAAATCAATTAAGTAGCTGTTTCGAAAGCGCAATATCGTAGATCGTCTTAAACCTTTTTCTATTTCTTCTATTTCGTTCCCTTTTTATCGCAAATCATTTTAGTATTTTTAATCGGTATGCCCGTTTAATATAAATCGTAGTCGGCGTGATAATTGAAGTAAAAGGAAAAGGCTCGTTCGGATCGGCGATAAAAGACAATCTTTTCGAAAGGCTACCTTGATTGCATTTCGGCTTTCCAAACTCTTTTTGGTACAAGAAAAAGAACTGAAGGTTCGTAAGGGGCACCTCGTACAGGTAAAGAATCGCAGCCCCCTAGTAGCGTAGTATAAGAAGAGCGAAAAATTAGTATTCTATAATTCTACCTTCAGGGTTGATTATAGCTTGACAGCGAGCTGGCATACTATCGATCACCGCTTCGAAAGACGTTATATCGATGCTACAACCCGAGAATGAGCGCTGAATAACAGCTGTCGGGCATTTCAGCGATGGATCAAGTAAAGCGTCCTCCCGTACCCCCCTATTGATATAGGTGAGATACTGAACCGCTGTACCTCCGTGTAATATAGGCGTGTCGCGGCCATTAACGATTTGGCTGGCAACTGTAAAAGAAAACAGAAGACGTCAAGAAAGAGTGACAAGTCTGAAGAGAAAACAAGAATCCCCTTCCACGCAGCCACGTCTGCCGTTTTATGACTCTTGAAAAAAAAAAAAAAAGATGCATTCGAAGGTCCAAACGCCGAAGGAACTGGTTAGTAGTTCGCGGCCACGGTCGCGTATGCATACCTATACATCTCCGGATTAGTTGTAGAATGGGCTGGAATGTACCTAGGCATCATTTACATCTACACCCTTGGATACACTGCTCCGTACTTATATTATAAACAATAAAAACCAATCAATAATACCCGACAATTAGGTCCCGAAACAGTTACGGTGGTGATATGGTCACGTATATGTTTTTCACGTGACGAATTCGCTATTCGCTTACTCCGTATGCATTTCCATTAACTACTGGCTGGCTAATACTAAACACAACTAAAATAAATTGAATGAATCGATAGATAGATAGAATGGACGGCAGCTACACGGTAGACCCTGTGCGTGCGAAATGAGAATGAAGGAAAGAGCAGATCGTAAGTAAGTAAGTAGGTAAATAAGTAGCTCGTCATCGCTCAAGCAAGCAAGAACTGTATGACTGCAGCCGGGAAAAATTTTCCAGAAAATAAGAAGAAGAAGGGGGCAGGGAAGCAAGCATATGCAGCAGCCGTCATATCCATCGTCATAGCCAGAAGGGGAAAAAAGAAAGGCGAGAATGAGCTGGTCATAATGAAAAATTTCCGCGGCACGAGCAAGCAACCAAGCGAGCGAGAATCATAATACTGCAGCCTTCCTTCCCACCAAAAAAACCTCCACCCCGAATCCGTTTCGTGGCCCTCACCCCGTCGAGACACGCACGCGAACGCCCGATCTCTGAGATTGGATGTGCGGATCCCCGACTGCCGCGCTGCAGCAGAGATAAAGTAAGTACAGTACTGCGGAAATGGGGATAGCGAATCCCCTTGTGCGGCGGGGGAGCCGAGGGGAAGGACCAGATGCTGCGAAAGAGCAATGCGAATCATGCGATGCGCTGTCAGTTCATGCTTGCAAGGGTGACATGCTCGAGCCTGCCTTGAAGCTTCTGTGGGGTTTCCCGATCGGTGGTCTTGGTCCGTACGCCGTCGAGATCCACGATGCGATGCAAGCGCGGAGGCGAAGGTAGATAAGCGCAGTTGGGGATGTGGCGGCTGGGTTTGCGACAAGGTCATTTTTCGGTCTAGGCGTGCCCGGCTAAAAACAGTATGTTCTCCCTGACGGCTGGTGTCAAGTCCCCGCGGCCCGTGTAGATGTAGGTCAGGACTTCCCGCCAGGTTTCGGGGTGGGGGACCGGGAGGTCGATGGAGTCGCCCTTTCGGACGTGGCCAGAGAGCATGAGGGCGCCGAGGACGGGCAGGTAGTGAAGTGCGTATTCTATATCTGGATGTTGTTAGTGAGAGCAGCGGTGGGTGAGGATTGTCTTTTGATCGCCAAGGACTTACGCATTGGAAGAGCGCCTTTACTTAAGGAAGGAGATCTTGACTTTGGTGGTGCTGGAGTGCTTGGAGAGAGCGTTGTGGTGGTGTGTTGCGCCGAGGAGCGGCGGGCTCGGCTGGAGCGTCTGAGAGATGGCGGTGCAGGTGAAGATGAGTTGGATTTCGTTCCAGACGCCGGAACTTGGGGGATGCTGCCTCGCAGCTCCTCAATGTCAAATTGGCGTTGTATTAAGAATGGCTTGCGGTCTTTCCCTCTTGGGACGACTCTGGCTCGTATTGTTGTCAACTCTGTAGCCGGCTTCACTTCAAGTCCATCGCCCATTGCTACCGCTAGACTCGGCCGACGGAGGGAGACCGGGTTGATGAAAGCATCCGCTGTTGCTGGGTTCCCAAGGTAGGCGTAGCCCCAGTCTCTTAGATGGTCATGGGTGTATTGAAAGGGGACCTGGCGAAGGATATGCTGGGATGTTCTGCACGCCGCACTGGAGCTCCTTCGTGGTCGTGTTACATCCTCGGATGTATCATTGGCTTCGGTATCACGCATTGATACATCGTCTTCCTCGACCTCTTCTTTAACCTTCGCTGCCACCTCATCAGCTTCTGGTACAGTCGGCAGGTCACGAGACCCCTTTTTGAAACTAAAATTCTCCAGCTGTACTTCGAGGCTATTTGTCGTCGCCAAAACCGAATGTCGTCGTGGGAACCGTTGAATTTCAATCAGGTCCTTACGCTTTTGCGAGTCGGCAGTATCTCCCATCGAGGTTACATTCTCGAGATAGAAGGCTCGTGCTGCTACGATAGTCGGGCTCGGTAATGGTGGCGTCGAGTTCAGCGATGTTAAAGAACCTTGTCTTGATCCCCTCCGTGGTGTGTAAGGGCTATCAGAACGTGTTCTGAGGCTTTGAAGTCCGGTATGGTGTCGTCTATCGATTGCTGGCGCCTCGGTCATGGTCGTCATTGACGTCGGTAGTGAGGTTGAGGAATGTAATATCATTATTATCGATATCCGTCGCGTTGGAATAATCGTGGAGCTAGTACTGAACAGAGATGGAATCTGAGGTCGGATCAGCCAACGCGTCGTTGCCCTCTAGCTTCAAGGATGAGATTCTTCTCGTTGGTTAGATGGACTTTGAAAATGCGTAATACAACCCTGGCAACTCTGGGGAGAGGCGAGAGCTTTAGGGGTGGTCATGAACAAATAACAATAACGGAGCGTTTGAGATATAGACAAAGAGTATGAGACAACCGCATTCCAAAGCGTTCGTAATTAACTCGCTCTCTCAACTTACAAGACAAAGATGTCTAATGTTTGAGCTCCCTTACATATCGCCGAGGTTCCGCAGCAGACAAAGACTGTTTGCAGCCGCTGAAAGAGGTAGTTCCACGGATCTGACGCCATATTGCAACGAGTTCCCTTGAAATTCAAGTACGGCACTGCCCTGCCCTAAGTCAGAATTTAATGGCCAGATTGACTGACGGCTGTTCCTGGCAGTATAGGAAGCATATCAGGAGAAAATTCTTGGGCCATGGCTTTCCTTACCCGAGTCTGGTGCTCATAGCATAGCATAGCTAGCTAACCATGGCAATCGATACGTCGAGATGCGAGACGAAAGTGGCCAAATGGGGAACTGATATCTATTATCAAAACCAGCCAGCCATCAAGCCACACCCGTAGCCGATCCCACAAGACGAAACGGTGCCGGGTATTTCCCAAAGAACCTGTCCCCACTTAAACCACGAAGCGAGAGTCACTGGCTGACATCGCACGGCATCAGATTTTGGGAATTGAGACATGGACGGATCGCGACAGCGGTGGCATCGTAAGACTATATGTCGATATGGGTTTGCAGAGTTTTTTGGATCGTCGTGCGATGACGATACGCTGATATGGCAAGCTTCGAGTCGAGCAAACTGTAACTGTAGCTGATACTTGAAGGCACAACCTGAACACTGAACAGGCCCATGAACTTCGTATAAGTAGACCGATTGATAGATGAATAGCTGGAGATATATGAGAGCGGCCTGGTTAAAAAATCAACGCGATAGAGAATTACGAACAAAAAAAGCAATAGCAACAAGACAAACAACAAAAATAACACACATGATGATATACAGAATGCAATATAGTCGAAGATAAGATAGATCAAACGTGGTACGAAATGGAATTTGAACACGGGGTCACGTGCTACATATTCGGGGTGGAAGTGTTTCCGTTCCGTGTCGCGTCCTCCAACGACTTTTCGCGAAGTCTGGCATCTTTCACATCATTCTGCACCACACCACCACACTCCTTTTACACAAGACACCATGTCGAGAGCCGCGCAGCAAGCTATGGCCGCGAGCTATAAAGCTCTGAAGGAGGATTTTGTATCAAATCTGACCGGTGGAGAGATCAGTGAGATCAACTATGTGACGGCAGTTGCCCCTGTTCGTGTCTCTGCTGCTACTCTCTCTTATTTACTTTGGTCTCCATTCGATGTGTAGGTACTCAAACTCCTGCTGATACTATATTATCCGTCAATCAAAGGCAGCAGTTGTCCTCTGGTCCGTCCTGCAAGCCCGCCAATCCTTCTTCAAGCCCTACACCCCGATTGCCGGCATCATCGACTTCCTCCTCAACGTGTGCGCCATACTTTCCGCACTTACCGTCTACTCCTCCATGCCCCTCGTCCTCATCGGCCTCCTACTCGTCCCCGCGCCCGCTCTATATTTCGCATTCCAGCCCTCGCCTAAAGGTAAACATCTCAAGAAGCCCAAGAACCCCCCCCAATCACAACCAAAACCCTCCACCTACAATGGACAACTCCAAGCCAATGACCGAGGACCTTCTCTCAACCCGCTCCCGAAGAAGCCCTTCCTGACCACCTACCGTGGCTCCATGATTGTCGTGACCTGCCTCGCCATACTCGCCGTCGACTTCCGCATCTTCCCCCGGCGGTTCGCCAAGGTCGAGAACTGGGGCACGTCCCTCATGGACGTGGGCGTCGGCTCCTTTGTCTATTCCGCCGGCATCGTCGCTGCGCGCCCGATTCTCAAGGCCCGCTTCGCAGGCGCCAGGACCGCACCGCTCACCACGCGCCTGTACAAATCGCTGCGCCACTCGCTGCCGCTGCTCGTCTTGGGCTTCGTCAGGCTGTATACGGTCAAAGGGCTGGACTACGCGGAACATGTCACTGAGTACGGGGTCCACTGGAATTTCTTCTTTACGCTGGGGTTCCTACCGCCGTTCGTGGCGCTGTTCCAGACGGCGTTTGAGTTCGTGCCGTCGTATGCGGGATTGGCGATCTTGCTGGGCGCGGCCTATCAAGCTGCGCTGGAATTCACGAGTTTGAAGGCGTTTGTGTTGACTGGGCCGAGGACGAACCTGTTCGAGAAGAATCGCGAGGGCATCTTCAGTTTCTTTGGGTACTTGGCCATCTTTCTCGCTGGGCAGGAACTCGGGCTTCTGGTGCTTCCCCGCGTGTCGGGCGATAGTAGCAGTAGCAGTAGCCGTGGTAGTGGTAGTATGAGCGGGAGAGAGATCCGCAAGGCGCTGGTGGTGAAGATGGCGGCGTGGAGTCTGGGCTGGATTGTCTTGTTCAACCTCACCTCGTCTTACTCGTATGGCCTCTCCCTCAGTGTGTCCCGGCGGCTCGCGAACCTGCCGTACGTCCTCTGGATCGCGGCATTCAATAGCACGCAACTCACCGTCTTCTGCGTCATCGAGAGCGTGTTCTTCCCGCAAGCGCACGAGATTGGCAAGGGCAGGGAAAGGCAAGCGGAGGAGGACACGTACCGCGCGAGCACGAGTCGGGTGCTCGAAGCATTTAATCGGAACGGTCTCGCTATCTTCCTGCTCGCGAATCTCGGGACGGGGCTGGTGAACCTGACGGTCCCGACGCTGGACGTGGATCGGCTGCAGGCGATGGGGATTCTGGTTGTGTACGCGGCTGCGCTGACGGGCGTCGCGGTCGGCTTGGACGCGTGTGATGTTTCGGTGAAGTTGTAGGTAGGTCGGTGTAGTGAATATGATGAATATCGTGTGATGTAAAGAAATGGAATGGGGGATGTAGATACCCGGTCGTGAGTGTATAGGAAATAACCACCCATTCCTTCTTTTCCGCCGCGTATGCATGTCGCTTGGAGGAAGAGATGGTCCGAGTCAACATGCATGTACGCCGTCGATCTACATCTATAGATGAGATGCAAGACGAGATGCAAGATGGGATGAGAGATGGGATGAAGTCATAATAAACGGGTACCGATGCATGAGTAATTAGGTAGACGGGTACACGAGAGTCGTCGATTCATTCATTCCTCTCCAGAGCTTGTAACATCCAAGAGATATCTATCTATCTACTACGCCACCCCGAGTGTCAGTCAATCTTGGTACTGAAGCAGGTTAATTTCTACACACACTCACACTCACATACGCATATATATAAATATATACATGTATGTATATATAAAATACATCTTTCTACCTGACCCGGACATGACATAATTATGGCATGATAAGCCATACTCTCGTTTCATCAGATTCATTCATCCCTGCGCCAGCGGCAACGTCAATGCGCCGGGCGTGGATGGGATGGGATGGGATGGGATGGGATGGGGTGGATCATATCATACATAATACGAAGTATATCAACAATAGCCGTTCATGCCGTTCAAGCGCGTCATTACATCTGGGATGGAGTCGAGAGGTCAAGATTACCTACCGATCTCGCAATGCTCCCGTACCGGGTTGGGCGTGGCAGTCGATGTTAATGCCGCTCGCTGGGTGGGAGGGGAGAGCTGGGCGGATGGGTGATTTGGGGATATGGGGGGGAGGGATTAGGGATCGGGGACTGCGTCAAGCCCCCTTTTTTGACGCTGATTGTGATGGGGAAAGGGGAGGGCGAGGGGGAGAAAAGGAAGACGAGAGGGAGAGAAATGTCATCTTCTAATGCTTCTTTCTCTTTCTCTTCCTCTTCCTCTTCCTCTTCCTCTTCCTCTTCCTCTTCCTCTTCCTCTTCCTCTTCCTCGCCCTCTTCCTCGCCCTCTTCAACGCTGCCTGTCCGCGGTTGTGGCTGTTGTTGTTGCTTTTGGCAATCGGTGAGATTGCCCACCCTCGCTTGGTTTGGATCTATTTATATATACACACATATATATATATAGAGATAGATATCTTCGTATATATTATTATATTGGACCGCATCGGATCCCCCGGGGTCTCTGGAATTGCCGGATTGGGAAATACCGTCGATACTGGACAAAGATTATCTTTTCTGGAGACGCGATAGTCCTGGAACTCGAGCTGGACGCCAATTGGACTCGATCTTGGACGGATTCGACGGAGGAAGAAGAAGAAGGAGAAGGAGAAGGAGAAGAAGAAGAAGCGAATAGGATAGGAGAGCAGAGGAGAGGAGAGGCCAGGCCAGGCCACCAACCGACTCTTGGGATCGCGCTCGTTTGGTTGTTGTTAATCTCAACCCCAACTCCCCCAAACTCCACGGTCACCACCACTACCACCACCACCACCACCACCACCGCCACCACCCGACCCACCACCACGTCCCCCCTGATCTTCAATCCCAAACGTCGCTAAGAGGATAGCAAATTAATTTGCCAACAGCACAGGGCCAAGGGCAAAGGGCAAGCAGAGCCAAAGCAGCGTAAGGCAAATCAAAGCCTAAAAAAAAAGTCCCTCCCTGTCGGCCATCCTAGATCCTCTCACTGTAGTTGCTCCCGACGCGAACTCGAGCGGACGGGCACTACTTTCCACCGGATTGGACTGGAATTGGAACTGGAACTGGAACTGGAACTGGACCTCTTCCCCAACTCTTCCCAACAATCCAACTCAAATCGCCCTCGACCTCGAACCCCCTCCCACCACCACCGCCGCGACCTCGCTGCCGCCATCGTCCATCGTCCATCGTCCATCTGCCATCTGCCATCTGCCATCCTCTTTCCGAGCCCGCCTCTGAAATACTTATCAGCAGCCACAGCATCGCTTCATCCATTGCAGACAGCGCCAACATATCCCGCGCCCTCTCCCTCTCCCTCTCCCGCTCCCTCTCGCAGCGCGGCATTCGAGTCAAACGTCAGTGCCAGAAGTTACGCAGAACCTGCCTGCATTAGTCTGGGCCTGGACGGAGCCAAGCGCAACGGCCCTTCACCGCGTATTTGGTGCTTTGTTTTTTTTGGGACGACGACAGTATCAACAAACCCGCAATCCCGACCCCGACCCCGACCCCGACCCCGACTCCGACCCCGACCTCTTCGAAAAACCCGCGAACCCGCGAACCCGCGACGCATCACGGCTTCGTCGTCTAGTGAATGACCCCCCAATCTGCAGCACTTCCACCGACCGCACTGCATCGGACTGCACTGCACTGCACCATGATAGCTGGCCCTCCGCATTGGCGATAGAGGCGACACACTCGCTATCACAAACAGCCGGATTGGCCTCGCAGAAACCCAGAGGTCGCCCGCAGGCAGGAAGAAATTAGAGACGGGAATAGGAGATCAGGGACAAGACGGGCAACATCATCACCATCACGACCTCGACCTCGACCCCGACCTCGACCTCGACCTCGACTTCGACTTCGACTTCGACTTCGATCACGTCGATCTGGTGCGTTGACGACAGAGACGCGAAATGTCTTCGGCCGCTCTGCAAGCTGCATCGCACCAGCCTACCTCAATCGGATCGCACTCACCGGTCACAGGAACCTCCTCTGGCAGACCCTATACCGCCGGCTCCTCCCAATCTCGAGATCGAGACGTCTATTACAGCCAAGCGTCAGCAAGCGCGTCCCCGTCGTCAACACGGAGGCCGTCGAGGAGGCCAAGCGGCAATGGGCAGCCTGCGAACGGTACACAATCCCAGCATTACACCGCCCCTGCAGGAAACAACCACCTTCCCGGTCCAACAACCAGCTCCCGCGCCTCGTCCTCACATAACCATTCTTCGCCCGAAGCCACGACTTACCCAACCATGGCCCCCGGCGATCTCCGCGCTGGCGTGCCGCCGGTAGTCTCAGCTCGAACCTCCTCTTCGAACCGGGCTTCTGCCCCAGCTGCTGCCACATCGACCACGGATCGCACGAGGAGAACGGCCGCATACGAGTCCTCCCGGCAATCGACAACAGGGGACGGGCAGGAGCGGGGAGATCGGCAGCGGAGTAATGGCAACACACAGGTCAATGGTGAAGAGGCGTCAACAGCTGCTGCGAATGCTGCTGCCAGAGCTAGGCGCAAAGCCCAGCAATCGCCGCAGGAGGGAACTTCACACAGATCGAGTGGGAGTAGAGAGCCGCGAGCTCCGCAGTCAGCTTCAGCTGCTCAGCGACAGGCCGTGTCGGGAGCCGCTGCGCAGTCACCCAGTGCACCCTCCAGGGAAGCTAGCGCGGTGTTGAATCGCGTCATTGTCAGCAAACCCGAGGTGGACCTGGACAGAGAACGAGATCGCATGGCAGAGGCAATACCCTCTTCCCCGGCGTCACAATCACAATCGACTCCGGGCGGTCTGGGTCTGGTTGGAGGTGAGGGCATGGAGGAACCAGCTCGAGGGAGTAGGAGCAGACATGACCATTCTGCGAACGCTGGGAAACGGGAGAAGAGCAGCAAATTTGGCGACTACTACTTGGGCAATACCTTGGGAGAGGGCGAGTTTGGAAAGGTCAAGATCGGGTGGAAGCAAGCGGGTGGTGTAGAGGTATGCTTCGAGACGCCGTGGGTATCTGTGGCCTGCTAACAGCTCCAGGTTGCTGTCAAACTGATCCGCAGAGACAGTGTCGGTACGAATCCTACGCGATTGGCCAAGATCTACAGAGAAATTGCCATCCTCAGGGAGATCTCCCACCCTAACATTGTCCGACTTCACGAGATGGTCGAGACCGAGAAGCAGATTGGGATCATTCTGGAATACGCGAATGGGGGCGAGCTCTTTGACTACATCCTGAACCACCGATACCTCAAGGACAACGCTGCTCGCCGGCTGTTTGCGCAACTGGTCTCTGGAGTGGGGTACTTGCACAAGAAGGGAATCGTCCACCGAGATCTCAAGCTGGAGAATCTACTCCTCGACAGGAATCGCAACATCATCATCACCGACTTCGGTTTCGCGAATACCTTCAGCCCAGATGATGAATTGGGCGATGAGATTGAGTACAACCTGTCGAGCCGAGAATTTGTCAAGCGGATGGAGTTGGATAAGATCTTGCCTGGTGGACACCGAAGAGGTGATTTGATGCAGACCAGCTGCGGAAGCCCGTGCTACGCGGCTCCAGAACTTGTCGTCAGTGATTCTCTGTACACTGGTCGGAAGGTTGATGTCTGGAGTTGCGGTGTGATCTTGGTAAGTTTTGATTCCCCTGTCCCGAGAATGACGACTGAGCCGTGTAGTATGCGATGCTTGCCGGCTACCTACCTTTCGACGACGACCCAGCCAACCCGGAAGGCGACAACATCAACCTCCTCTACAAGTACATTGTCTCAACACCTCTCACCTTCCCTGAATACGTCACCCCTCACGCTCGAGACCTTCTCCGCCGCATCCTTGTGCCCGATCCGAGAAAGAGAGCGGACCTGTTCGAGGTTGCGAGGCATAGCTGGCTGAGCGAGTATTCGCACGTGGTGGGCTTCATCACCAGCACCACCACGACGACCGAGCAGATTGGGAGCACAACCGTCACAGACGAACAAGAGTTGTCCTCGCTCAACCGGAGTGCCTCGGTCAGAGAACCATCCAAGCAGAAATCACCCGCCGCGGTGGGAGATCTTTCGAGGAAACATGGCAACGTGGACCCCGAAGAACAGGAGGCCCACCCCAAGGTTACGAAGGACAACAAGAGAAGAACCGTGCAGGTTGAATACGTTGCTCCCAAGTCCCAAACTCAACGCGGCGAGGCGTCTACGTCTGCATCAGCCTCGGCCTCGGCGACTGCGCCGGTGGCCTCGAGAACGCGTGCCCGTGCTGGGAGCCAAGGGCCTGTGGAGGTGCAACCGATACAACAGTCGAGACGACAGGTTTCTTCCGAGAAGCCCCTGCCTCCAGATCCCTCGGGCCGTGAGACTCATCACGCGAGCCAAGGAAGACGAGGATCGAACTCCTCTCGTCAACAAGGCATGCCTACTCCGTCGAGACCAGACCGACGTGTCCCTCGAGTCGCCTCCAACGCTAACTGCGTGACAGCTCATGCCCCTCCCCCCGTGTCCATTGCCAGACCCAATACCGGCGGCTCCATGACGTCCTCCGGCAGCAGACCTGGATCTCTGGCTCTCCGAGACCGTGGATCCTACAGCCAACCAGCAGCTCCGGCTGTTGCTGGAACGAATGCTCAAGGACGTATGTCACAGCCTCAACCGAAGAGCAAGCACTACGACATCCCGACGCCAGCGATGGAGGGTGGTGATGCGGACTATGGCAGACCAAACGCTAACCAGGTTCCAGCGAAAGCCGCCAAGGTGACGGGCCTGCGGGAAGAATCGGTCGCGTCTTCGCAGGATTCCAAGGGACACAAGAGATCGAACACTATTGGCAGCATCTTCGGCAGAACGAACTCGATATTTGGCGGCAAGCGTACGGAACTGCAGGAGAAGGCTGAAAAGCCGAAGAAGTCGTATCCTCCAGTCAGCATGTCTGGACAAGGACCACAGGATCCGTCTCGACAGTCCATGGATTCTCGCCGCTCGATCTCTTTCGGCTTTGGGAAGAAGAGAAGCGGTAGTATCACTGGCGGTTCCCAGACCAACCTCCAGGAGAAGCCGAGACGATTCTCTCTTCTCCCGGCATCTTTCACACTGAAGGCGATTGGCATCGGAAAGGAATATGGCACTCCCGGCGCGCCTCCTCAGGATCAATACGATGACCGTCCGGACAGCCATGGCAACTCCGTGGACCCTCCCCAAACCTCCCGAACTACCGCCAGCCAGAGCATGGGTGGTGCCATAGCCGCAGCTGCTCCCTACACCTCAGACGGTACTTACGATCGCAGCCGCGACAACCCGCAGGATCGCAGACGGACCAGCGCCGCCACTCCCCCGCAGGCTCCTCCAAAATCACGCGATGCCGGGAACTCTCACGGCCCTGGTGGACCTCAATTCAGCGCACCCTTGCCATTCCGTCACGGCGACTCAGCGCTCAACACTGATTCTGAAACGTCTCTTGCGGAACCTGCGCCGAGACGTGCTGCGTACCCGCCCGGCTTCAACTCCTACGACGACGGTGCGCGACGCCAGGGTCCAGCGCCCCCACAAGGACAGCAAGGCCGAGCTGCGAGAGGCGTTCTTCAAAAGAACAATCGCAGGTTCGGGGATGCATACGAGCAGGAGCAGGGCAACGGGTATGGGCCGACGCACTCGGACCACGCGGGGAGCAGCGGTGCTGCGCGGAAGGTGATGGACTTCTTCCGGCGGCGGGGGAGGGATCGCGGCCAGTGAAGCGGTGGCGTTGCGTACTCGAAGGATATTGATACCTGAAAGGATGTGAAGGAAAATTTGCTGAAGAGAATGCCGCGAGCGCGGCTGTTGGATCGACGAAAAACCCACCGGAGAATACATGCTAGGCCGGGATCACGAAAACGTTGCTCGCTTAGCTGATGATCTCATTCTGCTACTAGGGTGGCGGGTGAATGGGATGTGAGCTGTGCGAGGCGATGGAATACAAGAACTTTCTTTTCCTTTGATTATCTCTTTCCTTTGTCCTCGTTTCTACTTGGCTTTACTTTCCTTGGGAGAGAAGGTGCATCCTGGGTGCTGGGCGGGTGTTGGTGGTGGTGTTTTTCCCCTCTCAATTTTTGTTTTCTCTCTTCTTCATCGTCGGCTTTCCGCGTTCGTCACATCTAAAGGGGCGGCGGGGACAGTAAAGAAGAGAAAGATGGGGCGGCAGGTAGAAACGGGAGGGAGAAGTGAGTGGATAGAAGAAGTTGTGAAATTGTTTTTGAATTTTTTTAGAGGGAGCAGAAGGGGGCGGACATATACCTATAGTGGAAGGGGGCAGTAGAATGGTGCGCTCGTTGGGGGAATGGGAGAAAAGGGAATGGGGGGTATTTGAGAATTGGAGACGCGGGCACTTGGGGGCAGTATGTATGTTTTGTGAGAGGAAAGATGGAGAGAGAGTGCGAGAGAGAAAGTGCGAGAGAGAGAAGGAGATATTGTAATAAATCATTATACTTTTTTCTTCTTCATGCTGATTGCTACTATTTGGATGGCTTTCGATTGCTGCTTGCTTGGACGTAGGTCAGTCAGTGAGTACCTAGGTGAGCACGGAAGCGAGGTGAGTAAGTGTGCTTGCTGTGAGGGGGGAATGTTTAAGGATGGTAGTACTTAGTAGTACTTGGTAGTAAGTAGGTGTGTAGGTGGATAGATATGGGTAGATAGATGGGTAAGTAAGTAAGTAAGTATAGTTACAGGTACGGATGGATGGACGGATATGGCTGCGTTAGTATTTACTTACATGTGTTACTCCCTCCTTTTTTTTTTCTCTCTTTTTGTTCTCTTCTCTGCTTCTTTTTTTTTCTCTTTTTTCTTCTCTTTTTTTTCTACTTTTTTTTTCTCATTTTTTTTCTCTCTTTTTTTCTTCTCTTCCTTTTCTCTTTTTTTTTCTCATTACTCTCCCTACTCTTCTTCTCCTTCCGCTAAAGCTGTCTCTGTCTGTCTATCTGTCTGTCTGTCTGTCTATCTGTCTGTCTGTCTGTCTATCTGTCTGTCTGTCTATCTGTCTGTCTGTCTATCTGTCTGTCTGTCTGTCTGTCTGTCTGTCTGTCTGTCTGTCTGTCTCCCGTCTCGAATATACAGTAGGTACGGTACCGGTAAAGCACGAGATGCGCATATTGTACCTACCTTACTCGCTTACCACCCAGAACCCCGAACCGAACGACCGAACGACGCTCTACCGTACTCGTACTTCGCGCGCTTTAAAAAAAAAATCTTTTTTTTCTTTTTCTTTTTCTTTTTCATGCGGCCTTCGTATACGGTACGATCAGCCCCCTTTTGTTCATTCATCTCATTTATCTATCTATCTATTTATTTATTTATTTATTTATTTATTTATTTATTTATTTATTTATTTATTTATTTATTTACTTTGGTATGGTATGGTATGGTCGCTGGCTTCATCTACTGTTCTGTGTACCGGTAGATGTACTAGCCCCGCCCCCCCTTTTCTTCTTTTATATCGATCGGATAGAGATGATCTTTCAGGGCGAGGGCGAGGGCGAACTGTAGATAGATACTGTAGCGCCTTTTTAGGCGGGTTGAGATGAGATGAAAGCCAAAGAAAGCAGGGGGAGAAAGAGAAGAAAAAAAAAAGAAAAAAATGGGGGGGAGTGAAGAAGAAAAAAAGAAGAAGAAAAGAAAGAAAAAAAAGGAAAGCGGAAAGAGATTGCTTGAATTCAAAACGTGCTAAAAGAAAAACTAGCGACCCTTCTGTCGCGGTCCTGGCAGGTCTGGGCATGCATGGTTCGAGCGATTGGCTGCTGGCTGGCTGTACCGGTACTTTAGGATTAGTTAGGTAGCTAGCTGGGTAGGTAGCTAGCTAGGTAGGTAGGTTGTATGATATCATTACGCTCTAGGGGCATGCACGCAGTGCATGCATAAGTACTAAGTAGGTACCTACCTACTTACTGTAGTCTCGGCCCTGTATTGCGGTATCGGTAAGTAGGTAGTTCCACTTCCGCTTCTCGTCTTTCTTTCATAGCACGAAGGGTATAGATTGGTGGCTGCTAGGTGCGATACTTACGTTTCTTTAGTCGTGAGAGCTTTTATCTTTTTTTTTTTTTTTTGCTTGCTTGCTTGCTTGCTTTGCTGGTGGTGGGGATGGATAGTGGGAAGGGATGGATGGCTGTGATTTTTGATAGGTAGTAGATGGGAAGAAGGGAAGAAGAGGAAGAGGGAGAGGAGTGTGGGTTGTAGGTATGCGTACGTATTGTGTGCGTGCGTGTAGGTTGTAGAAAAAATAGTTGTCATCGATTAACTAATTGGTTTTTTTTTTTTTTTTTTTTTTTTAGCGATTTTATAATAAATGAATTTTTATTTACGGATAGGTTTCTTTCTTTCTTATAGATAGTTCTTCACCTTTAAAAACGAATTCTTTATATGAGATTATTTCTACGGACGCCTGGATTAAGAGTTTTTTAATTTAGGTGCGTAGAAGAAAGGTTAGTTAGTTTAGAGCGGGATTCGGATTTGAGTGCTGAGGCGTGCGAAGTTATTTGTGCTTTGGTGATGGCGAGGCATAAGGGATCTTTGGTGTATTCTTTGTACTTTTTCTTCTCCTTCTTCTTTTGTTTCCTTCCTTTCTTTCATATAAGTCTTTGCTTTATATATATACATATATATATATATATATTGTTTTCTGTTTCATAGTATTTTTTTAATTTTTTTTTTCATATATGTAATTTCTATTCAGATTAGGGATATGGATGCAGATGCGGATACGGGTACGGGATACGGTATAATGTTTATATGGTATGATGTTTATATGGTATGATAGATGGTGTAAGATATGATATGATATATGATATGATATATAGTAAGATATATGGTATAAGACCTTTATTAAGTTTGATATGATATCATACCATGTCATATCAAACCTTATATCAACCCATATATCATACTGTATCATATCAAATCAAACCATACACCATATGAAATGAAATAAACCGAAATATGACGGAGGGAGAAGATTGATTAGATTAGATTAGATTGATCAAGAATCGTACCCCTGGTCGGAGTACTAGTCACAGGCAGGAATGCGGTTCCTAGTACTCTTTATTAATACGGTCAACTTTTTCGTGATTTTTCTTCTATAATATATATCTATTAAAAATTTTAATAGAAAAACTAATCTTGAAATATAATATTCTTCTTTAATAATAGACCTACATTAAGAAAAAATTTAGAAGCTAATAGGATTTTAAAACGCGATTATATCTGTATATTAACTTCGTCGACGGTATTTATATAATTTTCAATTAAGTAAAGAATTGAACCGCATTCCTGCCTTTGACTAGTACTCCGGCCAGAGGTACGACTATCAGATATAAAAATAAAAAAGTGAGAAAAAAGAAAAGGGGAGAAGAAAACATTAATCAAATCAAATAATCAAATCAAATCAATTAATGATAAAACGAGAGGTAAAAAAAAAGGGGGAAAGATGGCAGATGAAAAGAAGGAAAAGAAAAAGAGAATAATAAGAAAAAATAAACACGGAGATACAGCAGTGAAGTACCTGTTACGGTTCTGGTTGCCTTGTTGGTCGGGTTGTGCTTTGTCATCTGAGGTCTTGTGATGCGGCCGCTCCCGCAGCCGCCCCTCATATATATGTTCTCGGACCTGTATTGTAGTTGTTCACACCTTCGTCCTTCTTTCATACTATCAAGCGTACGATTAGGTAGTACTACAATACTATTCTTCTTTACCCGTAATATTATCTATCCCGATCCAACTACGGAGAGTAGCTTAATCGAGCAATACCTACCTTTCTTTACTCCGTACTCCGTTCGGTCCCCGCTCCGTATCGCTGAACACGATAATGTAAAAGTTGCGGGGTTCTTGATTGAGCTAATTTCCGTAGTGGGGAATCACTTATCCGCGGTACCTGCGTAAAATAATATTTCTAAAAAGAAAAAGAGTTGAAAAAAGAAAGGAGGTTGGAGTAAGATGAGGTAAAATATAGAACGCCATAATATAAAAGGTACGGGGTGCTTGATTTAGCTAATTTCCGTAGTGGGGAATCACTTATCCGCGGTACCTGCGTAAAATAACATATTCTAGAAAGAAAGAAAGTTGAGAAAAATATGGGGTTGAAATAAAATGCAGTAAAATAATATATTTCTTGAAACAGAGTTTCAGATGATTTGAGAATTGAAAAACAAGGCAGAAAGAGTGAGTAAGTGAAAGAAAAGTATAAAGTATATGTACGATAGATGGATAAGTAGATAGATTATTCCTATCATCATTCTTATACCTTAAAGGCAGGTAGAGGGTCATTTAAGCGGTCCTCTGACCTTCTTTTATAAAAGACGGTTATTGGACCGTTTAAAATCAATACTAATTATAAATCAAGAATAATTCACCTTTTTAATCGTCCCTGAGCTTAGGATCGTCTTATGGCCGTCTTATAGCTATCCTCGTTTATATTTTTAAAACAGGTTTACTAATAAGCTCGTTTTTTTTTAAAAAAAATTGAAATAATTCGATAATTATTCTTAAAAAAGATATAATTATAAATAAAAATCATTTCTTAAATTGAATCGTTTGAATAATAATTTAATGGATTCGATGCTAATATATTTCTTGATATCGCTGCTCCGGCTTACATTTCAACCATTTAATTTTTTTATAATCGGAATCGATCGATTTAGTAAAAGTTCACTCGCATTAGTGCGCTTCCTTCGCTTATAAAAGGGGTAGTGTGGTAAGGGGGTGGACTAGTAGAAGATAAACGAAGTAGCAAGTAGTAAAAAAGAAAAAAAAAGATTATTTGCTTACTAATTTACGTTCTCCGAGACAATTTAAAGTTGGAAGAAAGACGGCCTTAGGACGATCGTAAGACGGTCTTAAAATGGGTTTAAAACGCTCGAAAACGGTCCCAAAACGGTTTTTATACGAAACGACGAGCATTTGTAAAAGACGATTTAATCGATTAAAATAGTTCTATTTTCAGCTACGATTTAAATAGTTGAAATCGTTTGTTTTCAAATTCTATTCAATCTTAAGTATCGGCCTAGGGTAATCTACCAGCCATGCCAACCTATCAAAATCGTCCTGAAAAGAGATGGTTGTCAGACGATCAGCTGACCGTTTCAAAGCTCCTGCATTCCCATTAAAGGTATTTATTAACGTCGAGCGGATAAGGTGGCAGGCAAGCAGGCAAGCTTTGCCTACCGCCTTGGGACCTCTTATAAAGTACGGCGACGTGCCAAGTCGAGGATCATATACCTACAAAGTATCATCTAACCGAGAGTCAAAATTACGTCAAGGAAAAGATCTTTTTGGGATAGCTTTGAGTCTTTTAATCTCGCGGTATTGCATGAGTTTTATATCTTTTGAGAGCATTTCAAGTTGGTACAGGTAGCGCAGCTGCTGTTGAGCAAGTTATAACGTAAGTAACGGATACCGGTATCGATTATCGAGATAATTTAAAGTCGAACCGAGGTAAGCTAACCAGCTTTTCCGAAAGCGCCATATCGTAAATCGCCTTGGAACCCTTTCCTATCTTTCTTATCCCGATCCCCTTCTATCGCAAATCCTTTTAATATTCTCAATCGGTATGCTTGTCAAGTATAAATCGTAATCAGCGTAGTAATTGAGGTAAAAGGAGAAGGCTCGTTCAGATTCGCCGGTAGAGGGAAAAGCTTTTCGAAAAGCTACCTTGATTTGGTTTCGGCTTTTTAGACTGTTTTTGCCGCTAAGGGGCACCTCGTGTAAGTGAAGAATCGTAGCCCCCTGTCCCTTATGAGGATGGGTGGATGGATGGATGGGTGGATAAGCTGCGAGATGAGAGAAGAAGTGGTGGATAGATAGATTTAATCGAAAAGAAAAAGAAGAAGAAAAAGAAAATAAAAAAAAAAGAAGACGAAAAAAGAAGAAGGAGAAAAGATATGCGAGATTGTGGAGAATGAAGAAGAAAAGATGAATGGCGGGATGATTTTCGTGATTCGATAAGGAGGGGTAGATAATTAGATCGTATGGTATGGTGCGATATGGTATAGTGTCTTGAAATCGTGAAACCTGTAGTTAATTGATCTTGGCAGATATGCAGATCGATAGATGAAAAACAATAAACACCTGCACGACAGCGCTTGAAAAAAAAAAAGGAAGGAGGCAAAGACAAACAAAAATTATATTTATACTGAGACAAAAAGAAATTATAAATACAAAGGTATCCACCTTCCGTGAATCCCGCCGTAGAATCTATCTATCTCTTTGGTGTATCCAGCCACTCTTCGCTTCATTCTCCTCTCCTCTCATTTTATCCCGTCACCGCTTACTCCCAGCCCTATCGGTCGGTCAGACTCACTCAATCGCAGGTCTCCTCCTCCTCCTCCTCATCCTTCTCCTCATCCTTCTCCTCCTCCCCCCCAGCCGGCACCTGCGCCGGGGTCTCGACGGGGGAAGAGGGCGGCTCAGTGGTCGAAGAAGCAGGAGCCGATGGGACCTCGTCGGGAACAGTGGTTGGGTAAGTAGCGACGGGTTCAGCGGATTCAGCGGTTTTAGCGGGAGTCGAATCGACAACAGTGGTTGGGGGAGTGGCGACGGGTTCAGCGGGTTCAGCGGGAGTCGAATCGACGGGGGTAGTCTCAGTCTTGGTGCCGTTCCCGGCCGGCGCACCACCAGCGGCGCCGCCGCCGTACAACTCTGGACCGGGGATGATGTAGTCGTCGAGGGTTTGGTAGATGTTGATCAGGATGCCGGCGTCGGTGGCAGCGTAGGCGCCTGGGAACGAAACGCCGTCGGGGGCGGCGGTGCCAGTTCCTTGGACTGGGGTGGGAGTTAGTCGACTGAGACGTCTATTAAGGAGGGAGGGGGTTCGAGGAGAAGGGATGGGGAGGAGAGTGAGAGGAGAGTGAGGGTGGTTCTCTATCCTCTGATTCCTCGGTCATGTTACGTACCATTGACTTGGTAGCACGACATGTAGAACTGGGCACCGTCCGAACTACCTGCTGCATGCAGTGCGATCTGCTCGGCTCTGATCAGGTAGTCTCCGGGGGCGATGTCGGTGGGGACGATAAAGTCCTTCTTCCCGCAGTTGGCGTTGAGGGTCATCTGTCAAACAAGCTGGTCAGTCGGGGCAGGCGAGAGAAACAACGTGTGAGGGTAAACTTGCGTCGGCCCACTCCTGGGTGGCAGAATTGTAGCCCTCTTCAAAGACCTTGAACCACTTCGCAGTTGTAGGATCAGCCGTCGTGGCGTCAGTGACAGCCGCCATGTAGACGATGGTTGGACCGCGGTGGGCACCGCCGATAGCCTCTTCAGTGCATGCACGGCTTGCGTGCTGGTGCATCTCCACGGTCACCTTCTGGCCAGCTTTTGACGAAATCAGTACGGTACTCGGTTGCCATGTAGTCGACACGGGGAGGAAGAGAGGAGAGGAGAGGAGGAGAGGATTGAGTTGACATACCCGTAATGGCGCACATGCCCGCTACACCAGCAGTTCCGGCATTGCACGCCATGTCCGGAGAAGTGACATCGGTAATGGGAGAGTTGCTGCCAGGCATCCGCACACACGTGCTGACCTGGTCCACATCGTCGACCCAGAGTTGTTGCCAAATCGCGTGACCAAGCACGGTTTGGGCAGAAGCCAGGAGAACAGCGGCGGGAGCGAAAGACTTCATGGTGAAGGAATGACAAAAACGGGGAAATTCTCAGAATTTAAAGAAAGTATGAAGTGTATGAAGTGAATGAAGCGAGTGAAGCGAGGAAAAGATGAGGATAGGAAAGACTTGACTGGAGAGTATCATCATCGGTAGAAGCTCTTCTTTATATACGACCTGTGGGCATATCAACCCGGAGAGTGCCATCGTGGTGGAGTGAGCGCGGCCAAGAACGTTTAGATGAACACCGTTCGATTAATAACCTGGCTAGAGACAGCGGACGGCCGAGATGGGATCGTGCAAGCTGATTTGGAGGTTGTGAAACATGTCCATATGAGAGATGCGAGATGATAGATGAGAGATATCCAGGTCCAACGCATGTCGGCCGATGCACTGGCGCTAACTGGTAGGTTTCCAAGCGAGATGAGAAGCTTTCGAAGAAGTAAACATAGAGAGCTTGGTAGGAGATCCGAAACTCTCAAGGTGGAGGCGCGCCATCTCACAATGGGGCGATAAATAGATTGACCGGGATTCGGGAGACGATCGTACGTAACGAATACTCGGTTGCTATTCGTTCAAGACACCGAGGACAAACGCCGGCCCTTGACAGATTGGAGAATTAATGTGAGATATAATGAATTGCAATCAATTGCTGTAGACAGAAGCAATTTCGTCGCGGCGATGCCATTCCCGATTTATTTGCTCCTTTGAGTGTTTCCTGTGGTTTTCTCCAAGCATTTACCGACTCACTCATTCCCTCACTCACTCCGCGATACCACCCCATTCGCCATCAGCCGCATCTACCGATGCCTCCTCGACCGGATTCCCAGCTTCAGCCTTCGCCCTGCGCCGACTTCCGGCAATGGCACCTTTCCGATTATGCTCCAACTTCCGCTCATAACCACTCTTGGTACTGATCAGAATTTTGCCGCCTTTCTTGCCCTTGCCGTTTCCCTTCTCGTCCTTCTTCCCTCCCAAGCCCCCACGTCTCGCCTCCACCCCATGAGCCTTCAACCTCTTCTTCTCCTCCTTTCTCGGCGTCGGCAGCACGTCCAGTAGCCACTTTTGCATCCCCGCTTCGCTCGGCTCCTTGCCAGCCTGCTTCTCGCTCGCTGCGATGATATTCGCCACATTCTTCACAAACGGAATATCTTCCTTCGTATAGAACGTCACGGCAACACCGCCATCCCTGCCACCCCGTCCAGTCCTCCCAACGCGGTGAATGTAGCTCGCCCCTGAGTTGGGGACGTCGTAGTTCACCACGCCGTTGATGCCGCGGAAGTCCACGCCGCGGGAGAGTATGTCGGTGGTGATCAGGATCCAGATCTCGCCAGTGCGGAAACGCGACATGACAGCTGAGCGGGCGGAATCCGAGAGGTCCGAGTGCAGAACGGCGATGCGGGAGGAGCCACCGGCTTCCGAGGGGATGTCGTAGAGAAGTTCGGCGTGCAATGCCACGGCTCGGGGGATGGTTTGCGTGAATACCAGGAATGGCGGTCTGAGGGATATGGCTTTTGGGTCAGATCCCGCTGTGGGGTGGAGCAGCTGGCGGAGGGCGAGCAGTTTTCCGGGCTCGGTAGCGGCGTAGACGAGACGGTGTGTGATGTTGGGGATGGCAGAATCTTTGAGGCCGACTACCAGGCGAATTATAGGCGTGTTTGGGAGAGAGAGAGAGGAGCGGCGGGAGAGGATAGTGGAGGAGGCCAGGGCTTCGATGTTGGAGCCCATGGTTGCTGACCAGAGCGTTACCCGTAGCGAGGGATTTGTACATGATGACCAGATGCCGAGAGTTTGATCACGGAAGAGGGGGTCAAGCAGGACGTCTGCTTCGTCGAGGACGAGGGCTCGTACTGACGGTAAGGAATGGTTTCTTCCTGGTTCGGAGGTGGAGAGGGCGCGGAGGATGAGACCGGGAGTTGTGATCAGCATATCGCCTTTTACGATGGGTTGTGATGTCTTCTTCCCATCCATCTCCTCTACGTCGTCCTCGTCGCTCGAGCTTTCATTACCATGTTCCTGAGCACCACCGCCTTCTACGATCCTCATGCCCTTCTTCATACCCACAACCTTAACGCCAGTCCCCAGACTCAGCTTCTTCGCCTCATTCACAATCTGGCTTGCCAACTCCTTCGTGGGCGCCACCACTATAGCATCCAGCCCATGAGTCGCCTTGTCCTCCTCTTTTTGACCCCTCCTACGTTGTATGATGCGATCCACAATCGGGATCAAAAATGCCAGTGTCTTGCCGCTGCCCGTGGGCGCCACAGCCAGTAAATCCACCTCAGCTCCCATCTGCTCCAATTCACTGTCCCCCAACGCAACCTCCGGGCGCAACAAAATTGGCAAGCTCGCCATTTGCACCTCCGTCGGAATTTTGTATCCCTGCTGCACCAAATTCTCCGCCATGCGCCCCGAGATCCCATAAGTGCTCTTCAAATCCGCGAACGCTACCAGCGGTTGCGGATACACCTGCTTGTAATCTTCCTTGACTTTCTTGCTGACTTTTGCCTTCTTCGATTTCTTGACCTTCTTCTCGTCCTTCTTGCCGGACGGCAAGATCGTGAGCTTCAGTCGATGCGATTTCAAAATTCGTCGGCACTCGTCCTGGTCCAGCAATCTGGCTTCCAACTTCGCATCTTCCGTCTTCGCAACTTTCTTCGGTTTGGGAGCAGCGCTCTTCGGGGCAAAGAAATTTACATCGTCGTCTTCTTCATCGGGCGTCTCTTCTATCTCCTCGCCCCCGCGCTTCCTCTTCTTCCCTCGAGGATCGGGGATCGCATCGTGGTATAATTGCGGGTTCGCATTGGTTCCCGCGGACGGGAGCTTTGCAGCTGCGTTGGTCCCTTGCCCGGCTTTGTTGGGTTTTTTCGTTGATCGCGACAGGAGCTTGAGGATATCCATGGTGACGCTGTTGTGTTTGGACTCGGATGCCCGAGGTAGGAAATTTATTTTCGATGCAGGTATTCTGCCGCCGTGAGTTTGGTTACTTGACCGCCCTGAAATCCACGTGCTAGCGCGCTGCGTACCTAAAGCGAAGCGAGACCATCCATACCGTAGGGCACTTCCCTGGCTTCGCTTGCTCAGCTTCTTGGGTATTGTATACGGAACCTGCGAGCGAAGAGGAAACATGGAGCTGTCATGTTATCTATCGGTTTGCAATGAATTATTTCAGCTTGGCAGTCAATCGGACACTTCGATCGCATAAAGTTTTAGTCACGTGCTACGTATCTAGACGCTCGTGGGGATATCAACGTATTCTCAGTCGCTCGTGCTCCAGCTCCTTTCCACCACCCTCGGACGCAACAGGGACTAATACTCGCTCACACACACCTCTCTCGCCGTCAGACAAACGAAAATCCCAGAATCTTCACCAGGCTTCAACACTATGCACCCGCAGCTTCTCGAACAGCTCTCACATCTTGCCAACATGTGCAATCGCTCCGGAATCCCAAGACATAGTACGCCCCAGGTGCTCGATCCGACTTCTCTTTACTGTCACGAAGTCAAGGCTTGGTCCATCCAGGATCTCCAAGCCTTGTCCCATAGTATCAATGCTAGGACACCTCAGTCCCCTTCAATGCCGTCCCAACAGACAAGATCTGCCTGAGATAAGCATCTCCTTTCTATTTCCACCCCATAACTTATTGCCACACTCTGAGTTTCGAAGTGGTCTTCCTCATTCCTTGATATCCAGCCCAAGGATGATACGCTTATCTAAGCAGCAAGAATGTGTGGCGCTGACTTTCATTCCGTGTTTTTGATTGTACTGAGTGCCACATAGCGGGGAAAGGGTTTTCACCCTAGATTACGCTGTATTCTGTGTAATTGGCGAATACAGCGTAATTGGCGGACTCAAGGCGCCAGAAAAGCTGGATTTTGCGTCGCTATCAAACAGTCGCATCGCTGTTCATGGATTCTCTCGGCCTCCCCGACTCCCGCAGATCGATGCACCCGGTAGCCGCGTCCAAACCCGACTGGACAAGAATTTAACTTGCTCATTGTTGATAAGTACGTAGTAAGTACTACCTACATCTAGTACCTAGTACAAACATGAGGTGGAGACCCTCATTTCCCTAGGGCTAGCCTCTTGGCTCCCCCTATTGTATATAGGTCCCAGCTCTCCCACTTGTTCGAGACAGCTTTTATAACACCTGGTTTCACCAATTCTCCTGATTCACTGCGGCTTGAGTACAGATTCCGTCGATGGAGTGATCTACTTTCGTTGTTCGGAACCATGTTGGGTATCGACATGGAGCCCGGCCAAAGAAGTGCTTTCCGAAGACCAGAAAACCACATACCGTCCCGGATCAAGGGGTTCATCCTCGTCCATACAGTACTGAAAGCGAGCCGGACTTGCGCCGCCGTCTTTCACTTCGGCCCTTTGGCGCTCGCTCTGGATTTAATGGCCCGAGGTCCACCCACGTCGCAGGCTGAGTCCTGACGTGGATGCACAGGTAGCTGGAAATTGGAATGCTGAGGAAGTGGACTCGCTTCTTCGGTTTCTCGGTTCCAGCCGTGGCTCAGCGTCACCAGAATGGGTCGGTCGCCACGGCGATGTTTCGAATAGAAAGGTCTCGGAGCGCCCAGATTGAGATTTACGTACTGTAAGTACACGGCGACTCGCCATCGACGGCGCGACGAGGTTTCATTTCGAGCATCGTCCATGTCCATATGGTCTGTGATACGGTCGGGACCTATTTCTCGTGATCTGTTCTGAAACACTGTCACAGTCCGGTTACACCCCCTCCATGGGCGGACTCTTGGTGGTCACGTGTGGCGAACTCGGCCCTCTTTTTTTTTTCTGGCCCTGCCGTTGCCTGTCTGTGCTCGGTAAAAATGGGCGGGCCGACGTCCATCCCGTCCATTCTCCAAAACACGACTCCATTTCTCATCCTCTTCTCTGTCGTCCACTCTTCACCCCATCATCTCCAGTCTATTTTCATCTCATCATCTCCAGTCTTCGTATTCTCATCTCAATTTCTCTAGTTTATTTCATCTCATCTTCTACAGCTTATCCCTTCTGAACCTTGTAAATATTCTACATCTCCAAAAAAATTCCAAAATTCCAAAAAACACAATTGCAACATGTCACCACAGCCATTTGCCACCTTCATCGCAATTGCACTTCCCACCGAATGCTCCGGCGCCTCTGCTATTGGCACGGCGACGACCACAAATGCCGGCGGTCAACCGGTCTACGTCTGTACCGGTCTCAACGCTGCTCCTTCAGTATCATTGCATCACAGCTCGCTGGCTTTGAGTTCGAGTACACCTACTTCTGGCACGAAGACCGGGGCTCCGACTCCAGTCGCAACATCACCTTCCACGACTCCAACTCCCACGCAGGGCATGAGCGGCGCGGCTCGGGGTGCCGGCGGTGATGGTGCTCCCGGACTGTTGGCCCTCGGCTTGCTTGCATGGCTTGGGACGGCGGCGGTGATGGGAAGCTTTACATTCTAAGTCTCACGAGGTACGAGACGAGGTGCCATGTCCTTCACATCCACGCATATGGATGCGCTTGGCCCTGTGACTTCACCCGGTTCACACGTTTCGGATCGGAAAGCAAGTCGACCAGCTCGCACCAGCACCGCCGTGTCACCTCGATAGTACAAGAGCAAAAACAATGGCGATAAGAAAAAGCACAGCAGCAGCCACAGCCATAGCAGCAGCAGCAACACCAACACCACGTGTCTCTCATGCTGGCTCTGGGCGTTTGCCAATGTCACGTGGACTGTGCAGCCGCTGATTGGGGCGGCTAAGCTGGTTCAATGCATCTCGAAATAGGAGCTATGGCGGGGTCATGATGGCGGGGCAGGTCACCCCAGAGATAGACAGTCGAAGGACCAGCTTTTCTTCGTCTCTTTTCCCTTCCCTCTTCCCATTCCTTTGTAAAACATCAAATACCATTCTCTCGTCCGAGATCTTCTCAATTACCTACATAGATTGATATATCTCTTACGACGCCAATCGTTGCCTTGCTCACCACGAATATGTCAGAAACTACAGATGTAAGATACTGATTACCCCCCGCCATCGCCCATGTCTCACCCATCCCCATCCCCATCCCCATCCCAGCTCAGCTCAGCTCAGCTCACTGACGCCCCCAGAACCTTTCCTTCATCCTCAACAAGCCCTTCGACGTAACCTTTGCCCAGCAGCCAAAGCCCGAACTCACCTCCCCCCATGATGTCCTCGTCGCCATCAACTATACTGGCATCTGCGGCTCCGATGTTCACTACTGGGAACACGGCCGCATCGGCTCCTTCGTTCTCACCTCCCCCATGGTCCTAGGCCACGAGTCGGCAGGGACCATTGCCGCCGTCGGGTCTGCCGTCAAGACCCTGGCGGTGGGTGACCGCGTTGCGCTTGAACCCGGGACACCGTGCAGACGTTGCGAGCCTTGCCTCAGCGGACACTATAATCTGTGTCCCGAGATGAAATTCGCTGCTACCCCGCCGTTTGGAGGAACCCTCACGGGATTCTATGCCAGCGCCGAGGATTTCTGCTACAAACTGCCCGAGCATGTCTCTCTGCAAGAAGGCGCGCTGCTCGAGCCCCTGGCAGTCGCCGTGCACATCGTCAAGCAGGCCGAGATCAAGCCCGGGCAATCCGTGGTCGTGATGGGTGCCGGCCCCGTCGGTCTCCTCTGCTGCGCTGTCGCGAAAGCCTACGGGGCCTCCACCGTCGTCTCAGTCGACATCCAGCCCGCGCGTCTCGACTTCGCCAAGTCCTACGTGGCGACGCACACCTTCACACCGTCGCGCGTCTCGGCCGAAGAGAATGCCGCCAACCTCCTGAAGAGCGCCAACCTCCCCTCAGGCGCCGACGCCGTCATCGACGCCTCGGGCGCGGAGCCCTCCATCCAGACCTCCATCCACACGGTGCGCCGCGGCGGCGTGTACGTGCAGGGCGGCATGGGCAAGCCGGACATCACGTTCCCGATCGTGGAGCTGTGCGTGAATGAGGTCACGTGCAAGGGCTCCTTCCGCTACGGCAGCGGCGACTACAAGCTGGCGCTGGATTTTGTGGCCAAGGGCGCCATCGACGTCCGGCCGCTGATCTCGCGGACGGTGGAGTTCACGGATGCGGAGCAGGCTTTTAAGGATGTGAAGAGTGGGCAGGGGATTAAGGTGTTGATCAAGGGGCCGAATGAGAAATGACTTGCGAGGCGCTCGCTGTGAGCGGAGTTGAGTTGGAGTTTGAGTTGGGGGGGCGGGGCGCTGGGTAAGACGGATGAAAGGGACAAGGGGAAGAAGGTGGAGGAGTTTTGGTATAGCCGGGAGCGAACTTTGGATACGGAGTCCGAGTCGCATATGTAGTATATATAAGCACATCACATTGCATATGTAAAAACGACGTTTAAGCTGCGATGTATCAAGCCGATCTATACATTCAGTTACTTCCATTTAAGACGGTCCGTACCGACAGATGAAACCGATATCGAATCCACTCCATATTCTACCTCTACCCGCCCAGCCTACTTGGCAGCTAGCTACACGACGACATCGACATCGCCATACCCATATACCTCGTCGTCAACACCGTCCCGTGCCCCGCGCCCGCCACAGGAATACACACCACCTCCCCGGGCACCAGATCCACGAGGTTATCGCCAAACACCACCCGCTCCTCCTCGTCCTCGTCTCCGCACTCCACCGCCACGCCCTTGACGGGCACCTCCGCGCTCAGCTCCACCACCTCCGCATCCCCATCCGCACTCAGCACGCAGCGCAGCCGCTGCGGCCGCTGGAGATGCACGTATCTGAGCGGCTCGGGCCAGTTGACGCAGCGGGCTAGCTTCTCTCCTGCCCCGGGCCCGGGCCCGGTCGAGAACAGGTATGCGGCGACGACGGTGCGGTCCTCATCTCCTGGGACGGGGACGGGGACGTCGAGCGCATCAATCTCGGTGCTGCGGTTTGCCGGGAGGGAGAGGGCCGAGGCGATGGTTCGGCTGAAGGTCTCGACGCCGGTGACGACGTTGAAGGCTTTGAGGACGAGGTCCGCGGTGATGGTCGCTAGGGTGAGGTTCGTGGCCCAGATCTCCAGCTGCGTGCTCGTCGTCCTCGTCTCCGTCGTCGTGGTCTTCTTCTCGTCGTCCCGCGGTGCGAGGGGGTGGGACACGCTCCGCTTGACGCCGAGGGTGACGGGCGCCATCTCGCGCTTGACGGCGAAGTAGGCCAGTTTCGGCCGCAGGAAGAAGTCCGCCACGGACCAGGACGTGCCGGGCCAGCAGTCGTTCGCCTGCCACACCAGCGCCCCGCCGCAGTACTCCCGACCGCCGGGCCCCTTCCACTGCCGCTTCCACAGGCGGTAGGCCGCGGCGAGGCACTCGGCCTGCAGGAGCTGCGTGGTGTAGACGAAGTGCTCGAGCGGGCCGTCGGGCGCGTAGCGCACGTTCTCCGCCAGGTACAGGGCGAGGCGGCGCGCCTGGCCGGCGGCCTTGTTGTGGAAGTCGAGCGTGGCGCTCTGCGCGTAGCGGTCTGGGTCGGCGGCGCCGCCGGGGAGGAAGGCCGAGATGGTCTTCGGGTGCGGGAAGGCTTCCATGCCGAACTCGGAGACGAAGCGGCCCGCGAGCCGGTCGAAGTCCTGGTAGCGCTCCTGCGTGCCGTGCCAGACGTTCCACTGGTGGAGGTCGCCGACCGTGGGGTCCGTGGTGGCCTTCCCGCCCCCCCAGGGTGAGCCGAAGTGGTAGTAGGTATCGGGAACCAGGGTGGCGCAGGCGTCGGCGAGAGTCTTCTCGTAGATGTAGCGGGCCGGGAAGTCGGTTGCGAGCCAGGAGGCCGGGTCCTGGTCGGCGAAGTCGTAGGTGAGCTTCATGGACTCTTGGTACTGGTAGTCCTCGTTGTTGCCGGCCCAGATCACGATGCTGGGGTGGTGGCGGAGGAGCTTGATGTTGGCCTCGGCCTCGCGCTGCACGAGCGACAGGAAGGAGGGGAAGGCTGGGTAGTTGCCGCAGGCGAACATGAAGTCCTGCCAGACGAGGATGCCGAGCTCGTCGCAGGCGTCGTAGAAGGCTTGCTCTCTGGCAGTATTCGAGATGTCCGTTAGTGTACATAAATACATACATACATACATACATACATACATGCTGCTTTTGATTACGATGATTGAGAGATTCCAGAACGGGAAGAAAAAGAAGAGGTTGTAGCCTTTTCCTCCCCCAAGCTGAGAAACACCAAGAGAAAGGTGAGGAGGGTGTTTGTTGACTTACTCGAAGATGCCGCCACCCCACACGCGGATCATGAACTGGTTGCCATCCGCCACGAGCTTGACCCAGTCGTAGTATTTCTGGGGCGTGATGCGCGGGAGAAAGCTATCCGCGGGGATCCAATTGCTCCCGCCGCAGAAGATGGGGATGTTGTTGATGCGGAAGTAGAAGGAAGTTCCGGGCTGGTCGGTGAGCGGGCCCTGGACGAGCTCTGCCCGACGGAGGCCGAACCTCTTACTCCTAGTGTCGAGTTGAGACTTCTTCTTTCCGTCGAGTAGCGTTGCCGTCAGGGTGTAGAGCGGCTGCGCGCCGTAGCGGATGGGGTACCACAGAGACAGCGCCGGACCGTCGATCGTGAACGTGTGACTTGCGAGGCCCTCCTTCGCCGTCACGGTCTGGGAGGCGACTACCTCTCTGCCATCGAGCGAGATGTCGAATCGGATCTCCGTCGCGGCCTCCTCGACGCCTTCGACATCTGCTCTTGCTACCAGCTTAGCTGACGCGAGCGACTTGTGGACGTCGCTCGTGAAGTAGAGATCCGATATCCTGGCCGAGAAGATCTCCAGGCTGATCGGTCTCCACGGCCCGCACGTCAGCAGAGTCGGTCCCCAGTCCCATCCCTACGTATACATCTTCAGCATCAGCGTCTTGATCATCAGCGTTGATTGTCCGGTACAAGATACAAGAAAGGAAGCACCCATGGCCAAAGACTTTTTCACGTACCCAGTGGTACTGCGCCTTGCGAACCGCCAACCGGGAGGTATCGCCGTTCCAGCATCCCCAATGATGATCCGGATGCTCCTCGATAATCTTGCAGCCCGTCAAGTAGGCACTCTCAAAGGTAATCACCAGCTCGTTCTCCTCCCCCCCCTCCTCCTCCCCCTTCTTCAAGAGAGAAGTGACATCCACCCGCTCCGGGATGAACATGCTCTCCGTCTTCAGGATCTCCGTCCCATTCAGCGCGACGGTGGCGTACGTATCCAGCCCATCGAACGCAATAACCGCTTTCGTCGAGTTGTTTCCGCCCTCTAGAAAGGCGGAGGGGGAGGGAAAGCTGGTCTTGTATACCCAGGGGACCTCGCCTACCCACTGCACGTCGTTCTCGTTCTTGCCGACGAAGGGGTCCGGGATGATCTTGTTCGCGATGAGGTCCAGATGGACGTTCGTGGGGAACTGGGCTACGGGAAGGAATTTATGCGACTCGGTACTCGTCGTGTTGTCGCCAGCTTGCTTGAAGACCCAGTTCGTGTTGATGGGGATGGTCGTGTGCTGAGACATCTTGGGAGAGCTGGTCTGATGGGAATGGGGGTTTGAGGAGAGGCTGGTGAGATCGGTACGCATGGTGGTGAGCTTGTTTGTATAAATTGGGAGAAGGGGAGGGGGTGATGCGTATATATGTGTAAATATATCTATACATATATATGTATATATACATATACATGCGAATCTGGCAACTCGTCTTTATAAAAAGGACCCAGCTAAAGATTTCATGATCTCAAGCTTATTAGAGTTCATTTGGAGGGGTAGGTATATGCACCGATCGGCCCTCCAGCCCGCTTTTGGCGGGGTAGCTAAAGCTGAAGCTTCTCCTCCTAGCGCGAGTAAGTCACCTAGATCCCGTAGCTAGCATTTCTCTCCTCGAGTATAATTAACCAGCAGCCGAAATCAAAGCACCAGCGCCAGCCCAACCCTATATATTTCATCGACCCAAGACTATCCGACTCCAAATCCGTATACATTAACGACACGGTTTTGAATTGTCGGCTATCACCACGGTATTTACATTTATATCGCCAAAAATAAACACGGACCGGTTTCGTCCGTCCGTCTGGATTGGATGTAGGTAGTGTGCCACGTCCGGTACGTACGGAACTATTCCCTCCGGGTTAGTATTGATCGCAAGCAGGTATTCCGTATTGCGAAGCCGCGCGGGACCTACATCGGGACTTGATTTCAAACAGCGAGAGAAATACTTCGAAAGAAAGGGGAGGAACTTTTCTTGCGGGGAATAAATCTCTTGCATGTTAGAAGGAAGGATCTTCTATTCGTGAACGTTACGGCGCGAGGACTTCAAGTTGCCCGTTCGAGCTAGCCGCACACCTGGATATAATCAGGGAGTCCAACAAGTCAAAGGTAGAATATGATATATTGTCCGCTTCAGAGAGCAAGCTCGACTTGGATGCTATTGCATCTTTACCAATCATTTCATTGTTGACAGAATTCTCTTGCGTCTAAACTATTCCGCACGCAGCTGGTTTTTACGTGAAAACCCAATTGGAATCTTAGGTTACACCAGACTCGCATGGTTACGGGTGATTTACGCCGTGGCGATCTCTCTTTCTTCTAGCGACTGTGCTTGCTTGCTTGCTTGCTGTCAATCTGAAAATTTGCTGCCATCTTATGATAAGCTACGTGTTGAACAATTTCCGCGATTGCGAAGCTGGTGTAAGTAGTGTAAAGAAATAATCTGAGTCTGTTGTAACAATGTTCGTTACATCGAGATACGCCTAGCTCGAATGATCTTTGAGCCTGGATATTAATGTATTCGCCATCTTACTCCATAAAACTTCATGGTTGACTTAAACTATTTCTTGACAAAGATTAGATAAAAATTTAACATCAGTATTCTTTCGTCCTTTTATTCATTTCTAGCCTAGATGATATTATCATCAAAGGAAGGAAGGACTCATCGCTCCTCTCGTTAGCCAACTGAATAAATAAAATAGTGAGCTCCTCTGATTCCATTACCTACAATCAGCGAGGGCTATTAATACCACACCTGCTTCGTCCTCTCTGAGAGATTTCCAGCAAGGCAGAACGTCACCTTCTACGACTTCATGCGTCTCGCGTTGCAACTCCAGCTTTTCCACTCATTTATTCTAGCTCAAGCCAGAAACCTTGTCATCGATCGCATCAATTCCACAGTATGCCAGGACACAGGCGCCGTGACTTTCGAGCTTTGAAGATCCCGATGGGCCCTTCTTAACGGAGCTCTGCGGTTGAATCCACACTTCACAATGTGCAAGTTAAACACTACAAGTCATCATCCCAATGTGTCTATTCTAACATTCAATAGGACTTCCTCTCTCAGCACTGATATGAGCAGCTTCTCGCACGGCTCGTTGGTCTCTCCAGCGTCATTGAGTGAATCTGCGCAATTAGTAGCAACGCCGGGTTGTCTTACGGAGTGCTTCACCATAGAGAGACGCTTCACACTGCGCACTTTGGGTATCGCAGTGAATGAGATTTGAATATAGGATAACTTGGGAAACCCCCCCAGCGGGCTGAATACCTGGTGACTATTTAATCACGAGACGCACTGCCAGAGCATACACACGACGTTTAGGTAAGTAAATAAGGTCAGATGTTAGCAGCAACGGACAAAGTTAGTTGGCCAGAAAAAACCCAACAAGTAATTACAGGGGCTCATCTTTTTTAAACTGGAAAGGAAAATTGGCAATACTATAAATAATAAGTTTATATCTAATAAGATGATCTTCAATCAGACACGTTCAGCTCACTCGCCAGTTTGTGGTCTGTGCGTTCCGCCAAGGGAAGACCGGAGTTGCCAACCAGGTAGGTAGGTTGCCAAGTAGTGATCGAGAATCGAGCTCGAGGCGCCGCTCTCTCTTCCTTTTTATGTAATTTGATGATTGATATATTAAAGGTCTCGATCTTGAATATATATATATATATATACATATATATTGAATAAAGAGGAATATCGTGTAGCAGCTTGTTAAATCTCGTGTAACTGTACAAAGCTGGAATTCTGACTTTATTGTAGGTCTTGAAGCCTGCGTATCTTCAGTCTTAATACTTTTTATTTCTTAATCCAAGTCCGCATTATCCTGATCCAGCTCGTGGATAGGGGCTCTTCTTGGTAAGAGAAAGGGATCTCTGATGACGCTTGTTAACGGGCGTTTGTCCTCATCTCTTATTTAAATTCAGTTGGATTTATTTCCCTGATCTGGTATCTCTTTATCGTACGAGCAGCGCAGACCCTAAGGACCTGCTGTTTAACGACATCTCTGTAATTGTTCCGAGCTGTTTCTGGAACCAGATTCTATATGTAGTCGCGAAGGAATGGGCGAGGAGGTTTTTCCAAATAGCGCTCAACTATTATTAGCTGCACGATTATTTATAGCCGACGTAAAAAATCCCGAGTACGGGTTGAAAAAGAGATATATATTTCTTCTTGCAGCTCCATTAGAATCTGGCATCGGCTTTAGACTGAATTCATCATCTTCTTCTCCCTCTTTTGCGAGCTTGTTTCTTTTCGGCGGCAGCTCGCAGCATCATCAATTATAGAATCACGATGCTACGATCGAAGTCTGCGTTAGCGATCTTGCTCGCCTTGGTATTTCCCTTTAGTGGAGCTCAAGGAGCTTCCTTTAGCAGAATTAAGCAAAGAGATACCGTCATCGGCTATGCACTAGTTTCCGAGGTAAGTTTCGACTGGATTTGTATTACCTAGCATAAGTTCCAGCCCTGATAGGAGGGGGGGCCCACCTAAGCGAGCGAGCCGACGATTGCCTACTAACTACGTGAATTATAGGAGGACGCTGAGAACATCAATTATGATAACAAGCTACATATAGAGAACTACGCAGCCATCAATCAACTAGGATCCGGCTTCTATTTATGTGAGCTGAATCTATACACAGCAAATCTCTATGTAACGATCACGCGCAGCTAATGATGTAAATAGTAAACGAACCTGATAAATGGCTAACTGGAGGAGGGTATTGGCACTGTGTTGTCAGAGCGAACAAGGAGAAGCTGAAAAATATAGACAAAGTATACATTCCGGAATCTTATCAAAGGATGAATTCGGAAGATAGGGTGGAGGAGATAAGCTTGGTGGGCGGAGACGAAGAACCTATCTTGGAGTACATCAGGTCAGAGGCAGCATTCTCAAACCCCGAGATAGCGCTGCGTTTCATGTGGGCTCAGGGTATCGAACGGCATCTACTGATGTCTGTTCCAAGGGCAGTGGTAGAGGGGGGTCATTTGAGTGAATGGGCCAAATGCTTTAAAACAAGAGAGGAGATGGAAGTTTCGGACGATGCTATTGATTGGCAAGCTTGGAAGATTACAGATCCAACTAACCAATTGGACTCATAGGTGAAAAGGTCGATGTATTAGCTAGAAGGTAGAAGCTATAAAAGAAGGAGCCTGGAGGTGACTCCTCGATTATATGGTCTGTGCTGTAGGCCTCCTACGTAAATTTAGCTCTACGATATATCCCCCTTATACCAGGGCAAAGGACCAAGTTCTTTGT